GAATAGATATGAATCCATTTAAATTTAATTTACACTTTCTCAGTTACAGTTGGAAAACTTGAAATGCAAGAAGATCTTAGAAATAAGATAGGTGATTAGTATTTTAGTTATACAGGTAAATAAATATATTTTCCTATGATACGGACAATAGGATCTTTTCTTTTCTTCTTTCAATCACGTCACTATTTACATGTCGATTTCAATTGTCTTGTCTATCGTGAGAAACCATATGAACATAAGTTGCAAAATTGAAAGGGAAATTTCTGTTTTTCTTCAAATAGTGTTGCATATTTTTGGATAATAGGCTATTTAAAGTCAGAATACAATTTTATTATAACTGATGAATTTCCGAAAAGCCTCATATTTAATAGCTGATTTAGATTGGTGCAATTATATGTTCAAATTCTTACCATGATGGGTGAGTAAATGATTCATCTATAGCCACACTCACACCCATCCCGAAAAAACAGATGTTAGATCCTGCAAGATCCAATAAGGTCTTATCCTTGTAAGGTTTTTTCTATGATCTTGTTACAATAGCGGACAATATCTTATATGTTCATTTTTTTAAAGATATTCTCAGATTTTGATTGTTCGGTGTCAGCAAATAATCTTATAAGACTCAATGATTAAGACACTGATTTGGACAGACTGAATCCTTCTTGTCAGATCTTAACAAATCATATAAGACCCAAAAAAAAGAAACATACACGGTACATAATGTCGATCTTGCCTGTTAGTATCTGATCGTGTATGGTCTGTCCTGTTCTTTCCCTTATTCGAGAATAGTTGATTCCATCAGCTTTCCGATGAAGAACAGCACCTGGGAAAAAGACTCGAATAGTTTACGTCAGTTTTTTTCTTCTTTTTCTATACTAATAGTGTAGAAAACGGTTATTTTTATTTTTCACCTTTCTATATTAATAGAGTACAAAACGGTTACTTGTATTCCTCATTTTTCTGTAGTGATAAAATAGTAAATCCTATTTACTTTTTAATTTCTATATTGATAACATAGAAAATCTTACTTTTTATTTTTTATTTTTCTACATTGGTAACAAAGATAACAATTTGTTTTATTCTCTATTTTTTGTATATTGTTGACATAGAAAATCTTAGTTTTTATTTTGTATTTTTCTATATCGATAATATAGAAAAATAAGAATTAAAACTAACTGATATTTATATTATCAATTAAAATCAATAAGAATTCAAAAATAAGATTTTCTATATTATCAATATAAAAAATCAAAAATAATAAATAAAATTTTCTAAACTACCAATTTAGAAAAACAAGAAATGAAAATTAAGATTCTTGTATTATTGATATAGAAAATAAAAGCAATAAAACTAACTGTTATGTATATTACCAACATAGAAAAATTAAAATTAAAACTAATTGTTATTTATATTATTAATATAGAAATATGAAAAATAATGAATAGGATTTTATATAATATCAAATATAGAGCAAATGTTGACTGTACTTGTTCTAAAATAAGACTGAAGTTTATGTGCAAAAAAACGAAGCAAAGTAGCCGATCAGACTGATCATTTCCATGTGTATAAGAAATATTTGAGAAGTTTGATTTAATTGAAATAAATCTATAATATTAATAAGCATTTCATATAGCTCTATGTCATCATCTATAAGTAGAAAATAAAATTATCTACTCGAATTTTATGTCTCACAATCTCTTTGATTTAAAAAGCAAAAAGTGTTGTTTTGTTTCTGACTCTCATCTTCGAGTTGTTTGACACATAATTAAAGGTCTCATACCGTTTTACATGTATTTGTTTTTTGTCGATGGAAGAACAGAAATAATACTAAAATGTATTTTCTTCCAATTGCACTGAGACAATAAACATATTAAAAATACATGACATTACATGTAATAAAAATGAAAATTGATTAAATAGTATTAAATTTAATCAAGATTTCAATTATGGCTAGATTCTTCATAGATAAATTAAAAAAGATGAAATTATTTAAATTATTTTTAGGGAGTTTATAAAACTGCATGACATTTTTTATTAACTTCATCGGTTCCGTAACTGACCATACAAGATATAATCATAGAAATATTGTTTCTAGTTTAAAGCTCAAATCAATATCAATATCAACCTTTAGAAAATTCTAGACAAACAAAACAAAACTTTCTTCTAAGATTTAACCAGTTCAGAATGCGATACAATAACAATTTGAAGAAGAAATCTTCACACTTATTACTATTGAGAATACCCAGGTCGAACAGTACCGGCCGGTTCCGGCAGGAAAACACCGGAAATCAACGGAACATGGAAGCAGTATTCCGGCCGGAAATTTTTCGGATTTTTTCCGGTGGATTCCAGCCAATTCCTGTTCTTTCCGGCAGGAACCGGCCGGAAATCCGCCGGAAAAAGTCCGAAAAATTTCCGGCCGGAATACTGCTTCCATGTTCCGTTGATTTCCGGTGTTTTCCTGCAGGAACCGGCGATTTTTCCGCGTCTTTCCTGCCGGTTCCTGTAGTATCCGGTGACCGGAACGATCGACCTGGGTAGCTAAAATCATGATGAAATCTTTTACGATCGTTGCTTTTTTGTGAGAATGCCCAAAAATTTATACATATTGAATAACCTACAAAACACAAACTTGCAAAGGTTTTAGATCAAGATTTTCATAGGAGATTCGTATTGTCTTGTAAAGAAGTGAAAATACTTAATTTTAGAAAGTTCGAAATCGATCCGTGATCGAAACTGCTATTGTTTAAAAAACCGTGTCCCATACCCTATTAAGTTGAAAATTTGTAATACATTAGAAATGAATTCAAAATAAAAGATTTGATTGATTCGTATATAGATTATTGTTTGTGCTACAATGCAGAATAATGAACATGACAGATTCTTCAAATATTCTTGAACTTGGGAGAGATTTGTTTTTGAGTTCTTTTCATGTACTAAAATTTGAACTTACGTATTATTTTATCTAAACTTATCTTATTTAGCACTTCGATTAACCTTTCTACAAACTACTTGTTTGTTTGAGATTCAGGAATAAATTACTCAATAATAAGTATGATGCAAAATTCATGGCATAAAATACTTTTGAATGGTGTATGATTTATATTTGTCACACATTCGTAAATGGAATAAGAAAGAAAAATACTTACACAAAAAATTTGTAATTTTTTTATATGAATCAGTCAAAAACGTCTTATGCATGGTAGTTAAGTATAATTAACTATTGTTATTGTCTAGCAAGATGTTTTTAACGAATTCATATAAAAGTGGCAAATTTATTTTGTCTCATTTCACTCAGACATGTGTGACAAACATAAATCATACACCGTTTCCTATCAACTGATAACAAAATTGTTTTTCCTTACGTTCAAATTCTATTATAACTCATTTTATTGTAAAACCCAAACAATAAAAAATCAAATAATTTTTAAATATATTTCAAACTCGAACTAACAAAATCAGTAAATATGTTGGAAAAATTCGATATAAAAGAAAATTTGATTCACGATAAACATTCGAGTTCATCGCAATTTTTTACATTACCAGTTAAATTTTAGTTAGTTTTAGTCAAACTAACGATTCTTACAAAAAATATTTCAGAAAAATCAATAATGTTTTGTTTTCAACATTGAGAAAAACCAGATTCTAATCAAGTTCATAAGTAAAAAACTTTTGTAATTGAGAGCAGTTCAATACTGTTTAAAACAAATGAGAATGACTCATTTTAATGACATTGATGTTTATTTTTACTTCATACTTTTGTTTCATTTCAGTGCCACTACGTGCAAGTTCTACTGATATTTCTCCAAATGCAAAATGGGCACAGAATGGTATCACTGTTGCTGGAGGAAATGAACTAGGCAGTGAAACCAATCAACTCTCTCTTCCATGGGGTTTGTACGTCGACGATGATCAAACGATTTATCTCGCTGATTGTGAAAATCACCGTATTGTGGAATGGAAATCTGGTGCAACGAATGGAAAAGTAGTTGCTGGTGGAAATGGACAAGGAAATGGAGCTCATCAGTTAAACTGCCCAGTTGATGTGATTATCGACAAAGAGACCGATAGTCTCATCATCAGCGATGGAGGGAATAATAGAGTAGTTCGTTGGCCTCGTCGAAATGGTACTAGCGGCGAAACAATTATTTCGAATGTCTCTTGCTTCGGTTTGACAATGGACGACAATGGATCTGTCTATGTCGTTGACAATGAAAAAGATGAAGTGAGACGATATAAAATTGGTGATACTCAAGGAACAGTGGTTGCAGGTGGCAATGGAAAAGAACATCGTCTCGATCAACTCTCCGAACCCAGCTACGTATTTGTCGATCGAGATCATTCAGTTTATGTGTCTGATTATGAAAATCATCGTGTAATGAAATGGAAAGAAGGTGCAAAACAAGGCATTGTCGTAGCCGGTGGTCAAGGAGAAGGAAGTAGTCTCACACAATTGAATCATCCTCAAGGACTTGTTGTCGATCAATTGGGTACTGTCTATGTGGCTGATGATGGGAATCGTCGAATTATGCATTGGCCAAAAGGAGCCACACAAGGAAGTGTCATTGTTGGTGGAAACGGTTCAGGAGCACAGTCGAATCAACTCAATGGTCCCGTGGCTTTATCATTCGATCGACATGGCAATCTCTATGTCGTCGATTGGGGAAATGATCGTGTACAAAAATTTAATATCGTATGAAATTCAGCACGATGATGAATTTTCTTTTCTTTTTTGTTCTCTTTCTCTTTCAAATAAATCGTGATTGAATGAAAATGATTTCATAGCTATTCTATTCTCTTCGCGCGCGCGACCAGGAACCATCCTGGTGGAGCCGTGGCGAGCGTAAAGCTCATGCACGCGCGGGAAGACCCACATCATCCACCCGATGTCACATGTCAGTGAGTCTGAGGGCCCGATCGTGTGCCACGGACACCAAGACAGTTCCTGGCCAGGCTTTTAGGGACTACCCGGAAGTCCTTCTTATAAAGCGAAACCCTAAACTCAACGTACCTCACTCACCCTAACTATTCTCATCTCAACAAAGAAAAGAAAAACATGAATATAAAAGATCACAAGAGGACTTACCACCCTCTGTATGATCCAATAAAGAAGAAAAAAATAAAAACTGATACCTACATTTTTTTGTTGTCTTGATTTGAATTGAATTGTATAATTTTGTATCGTTGCAGCCAATCTAAAATATAAAAAAAAAGATTAGAATTTGATTCAATAAATTGAATGATTTTTACATGGAAAATCATTCATATTTATACGTTAAAAAGTCGATAATTTTCTTTTTTTTTCTCGTCAGAGAGTGATGAAAAGATGATAAAAATTAAGCTATTATCAACATACACGCATACATTGAGATAAAGTCAATCACAGTATCTCAATATATGTGTATGGATAATGCTTAATTGACGTACACACTCATTATGTCATATTATCATTGATCATCAATGACAACATGAAGCATAACTTACGGACGACAGAAGAAAAGAAAAAAACATTATTGTCTAGGCCTGTTTTTCATTCTTGTCTGTGTCATGTTCGTTTGTGAGCAGACGAACACACAATATTCAAGTATGTGTTCATCATTGATTTCGTTTCTCTTTGTTCGATAGATCAGCAACAACATGGAAAAATTTTTATCATATATTCGCAATTTTTAATATGTAAAATATGAATTTATTGTAATTATTGCAACTTGTCAACCTGAAGGGCGTCATTTGTCTGATTTGAATGCTATATGGGTTGCTCGAAATCAATTTATTTTTCTTGATAAAAAAGATTATATTGTAAGTTTAAATTTGTTTCTTTTTTTAAATTTTTTCATTAATTTTTTAGGTTGGTACACGTCATTTATTAATTCGTGAAAATTATGATATTATTTTATATGATGCTCAACAAAAGCGCTCATTAACAAGTATAAGAAAAAGCAATATGGTCAAATGATAAAGTATGCCCTTATTAATGGTGATCATGGAGTTATTTGTACAGTTGATTTACCTATTTATAGAACAAAAGTTAATGAAAATATTGTTTTTTTGTTTTCATACAGAAGTTCGACCAAAATTAGATGGTAAAGATTGTTGGGAAAAATTAACTTTTATTTATTTACAAGATCAGATTCCAATGCTATTAGGAGATGTTGAAGAATGCATTAAACTTCTTAGACAATGAAATCAAAGTAAGATTTTAGATTGTTCTTTTCTTTTTTCTAAGAGAAAATTATTAAATTTGTTGCGCTTCTTGTACACTGGAATCACTTGATGAAAAAGTAATTTATTATTGACAACAAAAAAAACTCTCATCTTAATACTTCTTCTGAAGGTCTTTAGAAAAAAAAAACAAAACAATATAGAAAATTTTATAGTTTTCTAATATTTTCAGCTAAAAGTCCTGAAATCTAGTTATAAATTTTCGTGCCAGTATATCAATTCTTTTGAGATTCTAAATAATATCTAAGAATGTTTAATTATGTCTAGCATATCCTTTATCTAAAGATTTTCCCGTACTATTGGATAGAGAAGTTTATGATAATTATCGATGTTGCTTTTGATATTGACAGATAAGATTTTTTTGAAAAAGATTACAAGAAATTACCATGTCATAGTTAATTTAGTGTTCCTGCTTTGATTGATATCCATTTGAATGTAGATTTTAAAAAAGTAAGAAGACTTCTCATATTCTATGTCAAAAAAGAAATTGGTCGGTAGACTGAGATTTCAACAAAGATGTTATTACTTGTTCTTTATTTAATTGATATGTTAGATATGAAGTATTAAGATAGACATACATTTAATCAATATTAATCTCGTGTTAAATTTCATAATTCAAAATAGAATATATTTTTTTAGTTACTTGAAACAAATCTACATGCTAAATTAATTTTAGCAGCATGTCCAAGAAGTCAACAAGAATTAAAACAGGTTTAATATCAAACATAACAGCAAAACTTGCTGCAAACCTTCATATTGATGAAATAGCAAGAAGTGGTGAAGATTGGACTGATGATGCAATAAAAATTGAAGGTGTAAGTTGAGGTGATACTGAAATTGAATTATCACCTGATCTTGTATGTTTTTATTCAAATATATAAATTATTTGTTTACTTCATAAATATTTTAAAGTTATTTTAATTATTAAGGCGTAATGAACATTGACCAAAATTATTGTATCTACTACTTGGATTAAAATTAGTTAGACGCCTTCAAATTGCTTATTGTTTAACAAAAAACGAATAATTTCAAGATGAACAATGAATTGAAATATGTAAAGAATATATTGTTAGTTGACAAATGTCAATGACAAAAACGAAGATTTAGCGAAAGATGATGAAAAACGTTGATATGAATTAGTTGCCTGTTTTACTCATTGACAATTACAATCAATGCACAAAATCATAAAATTAAAATCTGCAGTTAATCAAGCATTTAAATTAAAAATTTATACAACTGCAACAAGCTTCACCAAACGTTTATTGGAATTGGAACCAACACCTGATGTTACTCAATAGATTTTCTGTTTTAGTATTAATCTTTCATTTTCAAACCAAATACTCTCATTCTTTCTTGACTTCAACTTTGAAAGGTTTTAAAATAAACCAAAAAAACAAGAAAGAAAACATATCTTTAATGCACTCACGATATATCAAATCTGTTGATCGAAGTTGTTCATGTGTTTTTGATTTATTGGAAACAATTGAGTTTATTCTTTGTTAGATGAAACATAATTTTGATTGAATTATTTTAGAAGGGGAACAAAAAAAATAAAATATTTTTGTATTATTTTGTTTAGACACGAAGAGTATTAAATGTTTGTGAAAAAAATCCAATTGATGAACATGCATTAAATTATGATGAATATAATCCATTTAACAATTGTGCAGCATCCAATGTACCACATTTATCGGTATCAGAATTTAAAAATGAAACCGAATTTAATTTAAAGTAATCTTTATTTCTTGTTTAGTGAAAATCCATTATACGATGCAGTCCATTTACCGGAATTTAAAGGACAATTATGTCGTGTTACGAAAGCAACTGAAATTGGAATTCTAATTCTATTATCATTATTAACTTTTGATGCATATGTTTATCATTTTGAAAAAGTAACTTATCATTAGAACATTTTTCTTTTATTTCAAGATAAAGAAATCCGTTTCTAAAACGAGAATTTAGAATCAATACATGTGTTTGAAATAAGTTTACTTCAGTAGACATTGAAATTCTATGATAATGTACACGAATAAATAAACTCGATTTATAAAGCGACATCAATGCAACTGAGTACTTTATAATTGTTTAAGAAATCTTATCGACATGATTTCATTTGATATTCAACCTTTGCAATAACTCGATTGACTAACTCAATTAGTAACCTACGCACATCTATTAAGTCATTAATAAGACTAAGAGATAATTAAATGTCTAGCGATATCCTTTTTTTTTATCGATTTCTTCATATAGAAATAAAAACAAAAATGAACATTGAGAAATAAATTTCCATTGTAAAAACTAAAATGGAAGATAATAATGATGATGATTTTCTATTCAATGGTTTATTTTCCCCAATTGAAAAATTCTTCATTGATTTCGATTGACTTTTCTCCAGTTTCGCAACTACAGAGTTTCAAAGTAACAAAAAAATGAAAACCTATTCTAAAAACGAATTTTCTTAAATTAATATCTTTTGTAGATAGTCATCATGGTGATGAAAATCTTGACTCTACTATAGAAAAACATGATCTTAATGAAGCATTTCCAAGAACTGTTATAATAACAACAATGAAACGAGCAACAACATAAACCTTCTAATAATAACTACCTTCATGAAATAAACGTTTTTGATCGACGTGGATCATGCCCATATATGAGAGAAGTTTTACTGTAAAGGTTTTTTTCCATATAAATTAATAAAAGTCTATATAAGTAACTTATTCTAACTATAGACTTGCAATATCTTGACGCATATGTTTTTTGTAAGTGAATTATATAAAGAATATCTGACAAACAGTTACTCTTCTTCAAATTAGATACATATAGTGACACATTGAAATATATTATATTTTCTATAAAAAAAAAAAGTGTCTTTTACATATTTTTACACAAGGAAAAATTAACTAATATCAATCATTATAATTTCGAATCTATCTAATTATTCAATTAATTATTGAAAACCTCGTATATATACTTGATATTTATTTTTTGTTGATTAATAATTAAAAAGAACTAAATCAAGGAGTTTAAGATATGAAAATTTTATATAAATTTTTATTTGAAAGCATCTATCTACAGAGTGAATACTTTAAATTCATTACAAATGAAAAAGTTCAACACAAAAAAAGAAATTGAAAACTATGACTTACGATATGAATAACGCGAAATATAGTATTTGAACCAAAAATGTAACATCTACAAGGCTTTATATTATGCCATACAGTGCTTTTATGTTCTCTGTCTTCTCACTAGGTTATATTTTTTTTCTTTTCTTTGCCTCAACGACGTTCTGGTTTTTTTGCCCATTCATGGGAGATTATTGTCTATTCATTTTCTATCTCTATTGTGAAAAGGTAACAACTAACCCTTTTTTTTCTATATGTACTTTTCATACCCAGCAAATGACGAACAGACCGATCATTTTATCTTCATCACTCTTCTTTCTCTTTTTCTCTCTCTCGTGCCTCATTCAAAATCTTTTTTTTTCTGCATGTAGGTTTTTTCGATGGTGTAAAAAGGTAAATAAAACATTTATTTCTTCGTTTCTATATGTACTTCTATTATTGAAATTATATTAGTCGATGAACTTGTAACTACATTAGACAAAATTAGACGAAGCTTCAATCGTGTCGAAATTACTTTAAATCAACTAAATAACAAATAAATATCAATTAAAGAATAATAATAGTTAATAATCCATTGTAAAAACATTTATATCACCTTTTTTTATGAATAAACATAGGAAGAAATTATTCAAAAACTAATCGAACATTATTTTTTGTTAATATTTTATATGATTATAAATTTATTCTGACGATGATTATAAGATCTATAACTAATGAAAGAAATCTCTAGAATATTATACTCTGATTTAAATAGAACATAATCATAGAATTAGAGTTGTTCTTATAATATATTTTTTATTCTGAGATATTTTCCAATTTTTTTTTTTATTGTGAATCTCGATTTTCATTTTGGCATAAAATAGAAAACTGAAATTGAAGATAAATGAAACATTTAGCTAAAAGTGAAAACAAAGGCAAGATTATGGCAAGAAAAAAACGTCATTTAGAATGTAAAATGTCTCCTATAGATTGTGGTTTTTATTCCAGTGCAACTAACTGCAAAAGATAGATCCGAGTATTTGAATATAAACAAATAAATTCTTATAAAATTTCGTCAATCGAATTTCAAAATCGCAAGCAGTTACTCTTACTATATACTACTATTCCTATAATGTTTGTCTAATATATTCTTCTTTGAGATTAGCTTCACTAGTAGAATTCATATTGAACTGATACATAGAAGATATTGAAAAATAGTATTCAAAATTCAATTTAGATGAATTTTTTTATTTGACTCTGATAAGCATCTAACTTATCTTTATATGTAGTGTTCTTCTTATTAATATAAAGTTAATGTCTTGTTTAAATTATAGAATACTATTCTAAAGATTTTTCTCATGAATTATAGATCTTATAGTCATCGTCAGAATAAATTTACAATCATATTAATTATTAACAAAAAAAGTAACATTTAGTGAAAAAATCATGTATGTTTTTTTTTTAAATGAAAAACTAACTATAATTATATATTTTATTTTTAATATCATGAATTAATTGACATTAATTTGATACAAGTAATTTCGATGCAACACACTGATACCATCTATGTATAAAAATCTCTCGAAATAAAATATCTATCCTCTTACATATAACTATTTACGTTTTATAGAAATTAATAAAAGTTTGTAGAATTATATAAATGAATTATTTTAACTGTGATTCTAAAATATCTTGACGTATATTATTTTACAATTGAATTATACAAAGAATATGTGATGGACACTTGCTCTTCTTCGAATCAGATACACATAGTGACATGTTAAAATATGCTTTTTTTTTACAAAAAAAAAAACGTCTTTTATATTTTTCATATGAGAAAAAATTAACTGATATCACTACGAGATTTAAGGATATTCCGTTAAAAATTGAATAAATTGAGAACGCAAGTAGCTAGTGATCTATGGTTCTCAGCAATCAAGAGAGAAAACATGAAGACATGTTTTGTATAGAATGAAATCATTTTGAAACCAACGATTTTCATAAAAAGTTCAAAAAAACAAAATTAGATGAGAATTATCTGTTGCCATTCCGATGAAATGTTAATTTAAATATTAATGCTAAGCAAATAAACTTTCGTATTGACTCGATCGATTAATATGGAATGCTATTAATTTACTAAGCAAATTTTCTTATTTATTATCAAAATTTCATAGAAATGGCAAATCATTTTTCATAGATTTTTTTAAAAATATTTTTTAGAAATCATTAGTCTCATTTCATTGTTAAAATCTACAGATTGGTAGCTGCTTGTATTCTCAATTTATTCTATTTTTATCCTAGTAACTTTAAGTTTTACATTAGTATAACACTTAACCTATATAATTTATATGATCATCATCATATATACATATGTACATACTAAATACTTTCAAAAATTGCTATGTCTCAAATATGTTTTGCATCTTAAATATGTAATATACATGAGTCATCAAATATGATGTACTCATTATAGAATATTTCGTGAGACAAGTATAATATCTACCTCGACAGTTTCATAATGCAAATATTTCTCAATAGCTAATATATAAAAATAAAATAATGATTGACCCGAAAATAATTTATATTTTTAGTATTTTCATGTTTTTTTTCCTCTTCTACTTCAATACAGTCGATCAAGCTAAAAATGAAATTTAAAAATAAAAATATCTTAATCATGATTATTTACTCTCCTTTTTTTCAGTTAATTCATTATAATTTAGAATCTATCTAATTACTCAATTAATTATCGAAAATCTTCTATATATGTTTGATAGGTTTTTATTGATTAATAATTTTAAAAAAATCAATCTAGAAATTCAAGACATGAAAATTTAATTTAAATTAATTAATAGCTTTTTAGTTGAAAGTATCTATCTAAAGGGTGAATATTTTAAATTCACTACAATTGAAAAATTTTAGAAGAAAAAAAGAAATTGAAAATTATGACTTACAATATGAATAAAGCAAAACCTGATATTTGAACCAAAAGTGTTACTTCTACCTGGTTTTATATACATAGATACACACCCACTTTTATTTTGTCTTTCCTATCATTAGTTTTTTTTTTCTTCATTTTGCCCCTTGATACTTTTTTTCTTGCATCATGACGCCCTTTTTTGTCTCATGAGAGATTTTTCTCTATGTATTTCCTATTCTCGTAAAAAAGGTAAAAAGCATCCAAAGTCGGCCTTTTTTTTTCTATATGTACTTTCATAATCGATGAATGGCATGTAGACCCCGCCAAACAAAACCTTCTACCCTCTTTATGAATAATAATACAGACAATTACGTATGTTTGTTCCATAAGAATTACCGGTACTCATTCACCCTTATTTTTTTTTCTCTTTTTTCTCTCTCTCTCGTATTTCATTCGAAGTTTTTCTTCTGTATATAGTTTTTTTGCGTGGTGCAAAAGGCAAATAAAACATTTTCTTTCTTTGTTTCTATATGTACTTCTCTTATTGAAGTTACATTACTCGACAAACTTGTAACTACGTTGCACAAAATTAGATGAAGCTTCAATTATGTCCAAATTACTTTAAATCAACTAAATAACAAATAAATATCAATTAAAGAATGATAATAATTAATAGTCTATTTTAAAAATCTTTATATCATTTTTTCATCAATAAATATATAGAGAAACTATTCAAAAAACAAAATCAAACATTAGTCTTTGTTAATACTTTATATAATTATAAATTTATTCTGACGATAACGATAAGATCTGTAATTAATAAAAGAAATCTCTAGAATATTATACTCTGATTTAAATCAAACATAACCATAGAATTAGTATTGCTTTTAAATTATATATTTTATTCTGATATGTTTTCTAATTTTTGTTTTACTATCAATCTTGGTTTTTATTTCGGCATAAAATGCAAGACTAAAATTGAAGATAAATGAAGCACTTAGCTCAGAGTAAAAAAAAAAGCAAGATTATAAGAAAAAACTAGTTCAGGATACGAAATGTCTTTTTTAGCCTGTGATTTTCTACTGGTACAGTCAAAATATATGATATACTGTAAAAAATAGATCTGAATGTTTGAATATAAACAATGAATCTTTATAACATTTCATCGAACCTATTTCATAGTTGCAAGTTGCTCTTACTACCTTCTCTGCAACTATTTCTATGATTTTCTCTAATATATTCTTCTTTGAAATTGTCTTTACTAATAGAATTTATATTAAACTGATACATTCGAAAATCTGTTTTAGACGAAGTTTTTGTATGAATCTGGTAAATGTTTAACTTATTCTTACATGTAGTATTTTTCTTATTAATATAAAGTTAATGTATTATTTAAATCAGAGTATAATATTTTAGAGATTTTTCTCATGAATTATAGACCCTTATAATCATCGTTAGAAGAAATTTATAATCATATAAAATATTAACAAAAACAAAAAAAATAATAACGTTTGGTTTTTTTTTTCTTTTCAATAATTTCTTTTATGTATTTTTGCGGAAAAAATAAT